GCGTCCTGGCGCTGCTCGGAGCCTTGCTGGCGGCCGCCGTCGCCGCTGTCGCCGCCCGGGTCTACACCCACCTCGTCCAGGCCCAGGAGGCCGCGCGGCAGGTCGGGGACGCGGGGATGGGCAGAGGGAAGCGAGGGGCGCTGGGCAGGACACGGCGGGGGGAAAGGACCGGCCAGAGCCCGGCAGGGCTGGCCAGGCTGGAGGGGCCACGGAGAGGGACGCCTTGGACCGTGACCCCAGACAAAGGCAGAGTGAGGCTGGAACTGGAGAGCCTGGTGGGGGCTTGGGGTGCAGGGGCCTGGGGAGGGCAGGCAGGAGGGGACAGTGGCAGGCCCTGGCTGACGCGGGACCCGGGGAATGGACCATCCAAGAAGGCACAACGTGCAGCAGGGACCAGCAGTGGCTGGGAAGGGGATGGGGGCTCCGGGACTACTCAGAAGTGACATTTGGACAAATGGGAAAGTACGGAGAGAGCTCAGGGTAGAGGAGCTGCTGCATCCGGGAGCAACCGCCTGTTTGGGACAGGGAGATCAGAGCAGCCAACCGGTGTTCAACCCAGCCCCTGCCTCCCCAGCAGGAATCGGCACTGAAGGCTCTGGGGACAGAAGGCCTCTTTCTCTTCTCTTCACTCGACACTGACCAGGACATGCGCCTCAGCCCTGAAGAGTTCAAACCCATCGCGGAGAAGCTGACAGGTACAGAGAGACTGGGGACGGGGTCTGCAGAGAGAGGGCGGCCTGCAGTGGAGGAGGATCCTGGGGACCTCGGTCTCCCCAGCCCTGAGACTTCCTGGCAGATGGCTGTAAAACTTTCTGGCTGCTTCAGCACCCCAGCCTGCCTGCCTCCTGCTGATGAATAGTAACACTAGGTATCGTTCCCTGACCAGCATGTGGGGCTGCGCGTCACTTTAGACTTCATGTGGGTTCTCTCTTTAAACTTCGCCACAGCTCTAAGGCAGATGTTCATGAGCCTGATGTCTGTGCTTTAGGAGGCCAAGGGCAGGTGCACCCATTTGCCCAAGCTAGGAAGTTGGAGAACCAGGTTAGACCCGGGCTGCAGGGCCTGGCACGGCCACAGGCATGAGGAGGAGAGAAGCCGTGTGCGGAGTGACCAGGATGCAGTAAGGAGTCCCTAGACAGCTGTCACCATTATTACTGGTCCGAAAGTCTGCTTAGCTGCTGTCCATTGCTATCCATTTTGCCTAGTGTGATGATTGGGTTTTTTTTTTTTAAAGAGAGTTGGAACATTCTGGAATCATAAGCTGGTTCTCTTATATTCTGCAGCCACCCCAAGCTCTGTGTCCATTTCCAGCCAACCTCTTGTGACCACCCTCAAACTTATGATCTTGGCACACAGTGATTATCAAGCTTGCCTGGTGAAAGTCAGTCAGGAGGAGAGACACAGGGAGTACCATGTGGACTTTCTCTGTTTCGGGGATGGGTGGGGAGACCGGTCACTGTCTGGCTTAGTGACTTCTGTTGCTACTAGACAAGGTCAGATGAAAATGCAGATTTGCCACAGCAGCTGTGTATCCGTGTGTCTCAGGGTGGGCAGTTCTGTCATGAAAGCGGATGGGCAACTGAACAGGTCACACCCTCTGGCTTTGCCTTTTCCTCTTACTCTGTGTATGCTTCCCTGAGCATCAGCACAGCAACCTCCTGTCCTTTTCTGTGACCAGAGAGCCAGAGTTCCCTTATAATGACATGGTAGCAAAGTTTGTGGGCTTAGGATA